AAGAATTTACTTTCTTTATGATCATGGATATAATATCTTGAAAATTTTCTTCATCGCTCGAGCGAAGGTTTGTTTGCTCGAGCAGTCTTTTGGGGCATCCAGTGCTTTGTCTGCAGTCTTCTGGGAGTTGATGAAGTTCACTCGAACGGTCTGTTCTTTTATGGTCTGAACTTCTGGGAGTATGAGTTATGCACTCGAGCGAAGGTTGTATTGCTTGAGAGGTACTATGTCTCTGACACTTGAGTGCTTGTTTCATTGCTCAAGTGGTCTGTTTGGGATCAGTACTTTAAAAGTCATTTTGGGTCACTTTTCTTCATTATTTCCAAAATTTTCTCTCTATTCTCTCTCTCTTTTCGGCCATTGTTAAGCTCCAAGCTCATTAAACCTTAAATTTCATCTCCTTAGAGTGAAAATCTCACCCTAATTCCTTGTACAAAAATGATGAGCACGACAATGGCTTTCTATTAATCGGAGTGGATCGTGTTTTCATTGAAGTTGGTCTTCCAGGTTTCTTTCTATTCTTGCTAAAGGTAGGGATTTCTTTGCTTCTTCTCAATATTTTCATATAGATAGATAGGTGGTATGTTTGTATTGCATAAAACCTTATACTGAAAGGGATTTTCTGGAAAAGCATGCAGAAGGAGTTAGGGTTTCGAAGTCAAAAGAGTTATGTGTTTAAAGGAAGAAAACTCCAAATTTTATACAAAACCTAGTTTTGAAATTTATTTTAACATGAAGTTTTTCTTCAATTGGCCTTTGATTCTTGAAATTGAGTTGATGCTTGGTTGAATTCAGTACGCATGTTGATTATTATTTGTTTTGAGAATGATTCTTGTGGGATGAGTTCATGATATTATAATTGGTGATGAATATTGGTGTTATGAACCATGGGAGTTTATGATAATTAAATGGGTTGTGTAAATTCAAATAAAAGAAGTTTTGATTGAAGGGTGTGAATTTTTTTTTTATTTGTTTTAAAAGAAGAAACTTTACCTTTGTTATTTGTTAGTTGTATATTGGATGTGTATATCTATTCCTATACTTATATATTCCTATTCTACTTAGATTTCTTGTATACTTAGATTTCTTGGCCTATATATACAGGCTTCTCCTATTATATTGTATACATTCATTAATATAATTCATATACTTTTCTCTCTCTCTCTCTCTCTCTCTCTCTCTCTCTATCATGGTATCAAAGCTAGAGTTTCTTTAGTCTCTTCATCACTTCTTTATCTCTTCTTTATCTGCATCACCACTATTGAAACATGGTTGATTGCTTGATATTGTCCCTACGCTTTTTCATTACTTTTCACATTTTGATAACACCAAATCCTTCATCATCTCAAGACAAAGCCAACAGTGGTAAAATCAGCCCCATTGGACATTGCATCCGCTTGCATGCACCCTCACGCGCTGCCCAACGAAAGGCGTGTCGATTTCTGTCGTCACCACTCTCACCATGAGCAAGCACACATCATCTTGCCTTTTTTCTCAGCCGATTAGCCATCGGCTTTCATCAGTCGTGTGCCATCATTTCGACTTCCTCCTCAACTGATTAGCCATCGGCTTCCGCCTGACTTGTTCAGTCATGTGCCTATTGACTCAGTTGCATGATGTCAGCCCTACTCAGATGCTGACATCAGCCATACTCCCATTGCCTAAGCGACTGACGTCATCACAGCCATAGTGATGACATCAACCCTATTTATCCCTAAGGTTTTTCAACCTTTTGAATCTGTTGGTGAGCTCTATTTTGGCAAATTTCGCACATCTTCCCTTATTTTCTTCTTATGGATCATACCGAGAACATCTAATCTATTTCTGTTATACTAATGGGTCAAATTATGTTAGTTGGGCCCAAGCTCTCTCTAGCTTCATCAAAGGGAAACGACTTTGGTGGATCATTGTTGGTGCTCTGTCCAAACCCAAATAGAAGGAGGATAAGAATGACTTTGCATTTGGTGACCGTCTTGACGAGTGGGAAAGTAAAAATTATCAAATTATCACATGGTTCCGGGTTACCTCAGTGCCCTCCATTAGTGTTCAGTTTGGTCTGTTCTAGGATGATGATCAAATTGTTTCCCATGCCAAAGCAATTTGAGATTTCTTGAAGGAACGTTATCAGACCACTAGACATGCTCACTAACATCAACTATGGAAGACTCTTTATCACATACGCCAGGCACCCGGTCAGTCTATTAATGACTTCTTATCCCAAATGTCGTTTGTTTGGAACTAGCTAGCTCTTTCTAAACCTATATGGGCATATTTTGAGAATGCATAGTTGTTTATTACTTATCGGAATAATCAGCGACTATTACAGTTTCTTATGGCTTTTCACAGCACTATTGAGCCCATTGGCGCTTTTTTGCTCCATCATTTTCCTTTGCCCACTTTAGAGCAAGCCATTACTGAGCTATTATCAGAGGAGACTCGTTTTTGGATTCTCAAATCTTAAAACATGGATTATGTTCTTGCTATACCATCATCACAGTGTTCCTCATCTTCACAACCCTATAGTTTATGCAGTTATTGTCGTAACCGTGGCTTGCCAGCCAATCATTTGTTTGTTCAGTGTTAGGTTCACGAATGCTTGACTTGCCACAAGACTACTCCAGGTCATCTCCAAAGCAATTGTCCTCAAGCCCTCTCCACTACTTCATCCAGGAAAGGGTCTTCTTGTTCTGGGTATCAGTTTAAATCTAGCCAAGGTTCTCGCTCTACTGCTGTTGCCTTTGAGGGTTCTGCTACTCACCACTTCATTGATTCAACTGCTCCTTCATTCTCTGTGGATGATATCCAACAGGTGCTTGTCAAATCTGGTACTTCTTCTTCTAATGCTCTTTCAGTGACCTCAGGTAACTTCTTATAGTATTTTGATTCTGTATGTTGTAATCATATGACTTCTGTCTCCATCATGTTTTCTTCTATATCATCATCATCTTTTGTCCCCACCATACACACTGCTGGTCGTTCTCATATGATTGTTAGTCATATTGGTCAAATTTCTACTTCTATTGTGTCTCTTTCTAATGCTTATCACATTCTTGCTTTCAATTGAACCTTATCTCTGTTGGTTAGTTATGTGAACCTGGTCTAACCATTACCTTTTCTGCTAATGGTTGTTTAGTGCAGGATCCTCAGACGAGATAGATTCTTAGGATAGGCCGTAAGCATGGATGTCTGTTCAAGCTTATCCATCTTTGCATTCCACACAAATCATCTGCTGTTGCTTCCATTGCTTCCTCTGCTGCATCTACTTCTGTTATGTCTTCTTTTTACCTTTGGCATTGTCGTTTAGGACATGGCTCCTTTAGTCATTTGAAAATTTTGGTTTCTAGTGGTCAGTTAGGTTGTGTCCATCTTGAAAATGTCAATTGTTTATCTTGTCAAATTGCTAAACAACCTGCCTTATCTTCTAATAAAAGTAATTCCATTTCTAGTGCTCCTTTTGATCTTGTGCGTTCTGATATTTGGGGACATTCCCCCACACCGACCATGGAGGGATCAAGATATTTTTTGATTTTTGTTGATGATTTTTCTCGTTGTACTTGGCTTTTCTTGTAAAAACTTGATCTGAACTTAAATAGATTTATTATGATTTCTCTGCCATGGTCTACACTCAGTTTTCTCGTATTATTAAAATATTTCATTCTGATAATGCTAAGGAGTACTTGGATTGTAAATTTCTTTCTTTTCTTCTGGCTAATATTGCATTATCTCATCGATCTTGTGCAGATACATCCCAACAAAATGGACGAGCCGAAAGGAAGCATCGTCATATTCTTGACACTACTCAGGCTTTTATCATTTCATCTTCTTGTCCTGAACAGTTTTAAGAGGAAGTTGGCCTCACTGCCATCCACCATAAATTGTGTACCTACACCTGTCATAGCTAATACTTCTCCTTACGAGCGCTTGTATGGTTCTCCTCCAGACTATACCACTCTTAAAGTTTTTGGTTCTGCTTGTTTTGTTCTATTTCAGCCTCATGAACACATTAAACTAGAACCTCACTCTCATCGTTGTTGTTTTCTGGGGTATGGTATAGAATATAAAGGGTATCGTTATCAGGATCCTATCTCTAAGCGACTTCGTATTTCTCATCATGTGGTCTTTTGGGAACACAAAATGTTCTCCAATCTTTCCAAGTTTCACCTACCATAGTCCACCCACTCACCGATCTTTACTGATCTTTCTATAGACCTATTTTCTGATGAATTTGATATAGATTTTGACTCCATGCTTCCACAGCCGCCTACACCTATCGTCCATCCTGAGGATCCTATGTTTGTTGATGGCCCTATGCCTTCTCCAACCCTTATGGAGGTTCCTCCATCTCTACCTCCCATTGAGGTTCCCCCTCCACCAGAGCGTCATTCCACGCGGGTAAGGCAACCTTCTGTTCTTCTCCATGATTATATTGTTGGCTCCACTGCCTTTTTCTCTCATGAACCTACTTCTTATCGAGAAGCTTATTCTAACCCTCTTTGGCAACAAGTTATGACTGATGAACTGCAGGCTTTCGATAAAACTCATACCTGGGATGTGGTTGATCTTCCTCCAAGGAAAGAGTACTGTTAGTTGCAATTGGGTTTACAAGATCAAAACTCATTCCGATGGTTCCATTGAGCATTACAAAGCTCACATTGTTGCCCGGGGGTTTACTCAAGACTATGGCATTAACTATAAGGAAATATTTGCTCCTGTTGCTTATCTTACTTCCATTCGCAGCTTACTTGCAGTGGCTGCTGCTCGCCACTAGAGTCTTTATCAAATGGATGTCAAGAATGCATTCCTCAATGGTGATCTCACTGAGGAAGTTTATATGCAAACTCCTCCTAGTTCTTTTATTCCATCAAACAAAGTCTACAAACTTCGTCGTGCTTTATATGGTTTGAAGTAAGCTCCGTGTGCCTGGTTTTCCAAGTTCAGCTCTACCATTCGTGACTTTGGCTTTTCCTCCAATGCCCATGATTCTGTCTTGTTTAGATAAGATGGATCGTGGTACTATTCTCCTTCTCCTCTATGTGGATGATATGATTATCACTGGGGATGACACAGTCGGTATTTATAGTCTTAAACAGTTTCTCAATCGCCAGTTTGAGATGAAAGATTTGGGTTTGCTTAGCTATTTTCTTGGCTTGGAAATTTCTCAAGATTCATCTGGTTACTTTCTTACCCAAGCCAAGTATACTTCTAATCTCTTGGTTTGTGCAGGCCTTACCGATTGCAAGACCACCACCACTCCAATTGATCCTCAGACTCATCTTACACCCCTTGATGGTTCCCTATTGTCTGATGCCACTTTATATCATCTGCTAGTTGGCAGTCTTGTCTATCTCATAGTTACTTGTTTAGATATTGCTTATGTTGTTTACATTGTTAGTCAATTCATGGTTGCTCCCCACTCTTCACACTATGTGATGCTTTGGCTCGCATTTTGTGCTATCTCAAAAGCACATTGTTTCATGGTCTTCATTACTCCGCTCAGTCTTCTCTACAGCTACATGCATTTTTTGATGCAAATTGGGCAGGGGATCCTACTGACCGCTTTTCCACTATTGGGTTCTATTTCTTCTTGGGCAACTCTCTCATTGCTTGGCGTAGCAAAAAGCAAACTCTTGTTACTCGTTCTAGTATCGAGGCTGAGTATTGTGCTCTTGTTGACACTACTCAAGAGCTTGTGTGTCTTCGTTGGCTTCTTTCCAATATGGGAGTTTCTCATTCTGATGTCACCAATCTTTATTGTGACAACTAGATTGCTATTCTGATTGCACATAATGATCTTTTCCATGATCACACCAAGCATATTGAGATAGATTGCCACTTCATATGACAGCATGTTACTAGTGGCAATGTTCATCTTCTCTTTGTTACTTCTGCTGATTAGACCGCAAACCGCTGGTCTCTTCACCAAAGCTCATCCTCCAGGATGCTTCTCTGATCTCCTCTCAAAGTCAAGTTGATATTTGTCTTACCACCTTGAGCTTAAGGGGGAGAGGGGGGGGGTGTTAGTTTTATATTAGATTTGTATATCTATTCCTATACTACTTAGGTTTCTTGGCCCATTGTAGACGTGCCCGAACGTACCAGCTCTGCGCGCGAAATCGGCGCGAAATCCGTTTTGTTCATTAGCATACTACAGTTCGGACTCAAATGTCACGGTTCTGAATCAAATCCTGCAAAGTGCAATGCAAGACCGATAAATCACCAAAGAGTCCAAATCCAGCAAACCATTTTGGAAAACTGATTTTTGTAAAGAAGTGCCAAACATGGACTGCTTTGCTAGATACAGAGTCGCCACCTAAATATTTTATTTTGGGAAAAATTTAAGAAACCCTGGCTCGTGCCTAAGGCCACATGTCCGTCATCACCAAAGTTGCCTCAGCTCGGTAACTTGGGTACGAGAGGGGAAGGTCAGGCAATGAGCAGCCCCGCTCGCCCGATCAAAGGATCGGCATTTACTAAGCATGATATATTATTTTTGAAAACAAATGTGTTCTTATTCCGGTTTATTAGCTAGCTTACTACGCGATACGCACAGCATACAAGTATAGGCTAGATCGCCTAAGTTGGAACAAAACATCTCATGTTTGTTTGAAAATGGTTTGAAAGTGCTACTCGCAAGTAGGCTAAAACGTGGATTTGCTACCCTCAAGTGGGCTGAGAAAACATGATTTTGCCACCCTCAAGTGGGCTTAAAATATGCATTTCGATGAGTTGTTCCAATTCAAGCAATCCAACCTTCACCGACAGGCATTCAGGCAATTATATCATCTAAGCAAATAGCCTCATGGCAAGCATGCTAACATGGCAACACTCACACTCATGTAAGATGCCAAAGCATAAAAGCTTACCTAATACTCTGAGCCAAAACAATAGCTAGTCAGTAATAAATGCATGATCCGAGGTATGTTAAGATGGCTAATGCAATACATGCAAAAAATACAACTAAAAATAGGCTCGGCTATTCTAAGATGGCATATGAGATGCAATTTGATAACATGCGGTTGAACACATAATCAAATAAATGTATTGAAATACAATGCAGTTAGTATGATGCGCTGAGCCCCATGCATGCAAGACAGATGAATGGATGCAAACATGCAAATGTAAGGATGCTAATCGAAACTTGCCCTAAAACTAACCATCGAAAGAAGTTAAGTAAAAGGGAGAAAGACGTGGGGTTAGAAGACATTCACACACTCACGCACACTTATTACAAAATTCGCCCTCTCGATGGAGGGTCCGAATGAATAATACAAACCAACTAATTAATTAAACATGCAAAGACAAGAATGCAACAACATGCAAAAATGGACTTAAACTAAAATGGGAAGACCTCAATCATGCCCAAATCAGTGGCCAAAATGATGTAATGATGGCATGAAATGCAAAACAAAGCATGCACATGTAATGGCCTATAAACTAGGCAACAATGCACAATCCCCAAACATGAGCAAGGTGTGACAAACATGAGAATGTGGCAATGAAATAAGCTCTGAAATCATGTGAGGAATGGTGCCAAATCATGCACATAATACAAGCATGGCATGCTAGGAGGTTCAAAGCATAAGGCTAGCCAAGGGGTTTACACCATGGCCATGCAAAGCAAGCCCCAAAGGGGCAAGGGCATCCAAAACAGTCCCCAGGAAAGTCAATACAAGACCAAAAGCATGCTTGAACCTAGCCAACACAAGCTAGAACAAAATACCAAAAGCATGAAGCATACAAGGCTACAAAGGGGTATTACACTACACCTATTAAAACCAAACATGGCATGACTTAACCAATAAAAATCAGAGTTATGGCATGTCAAAATAAGCCCAAAAACCCACTGAGATGGCATCCCAAAAGCCTAAGTATGATAGCATGCACAATGACTCATTCTTGAGGCATAAAACACCAACTTCTCAATACATGGAAAAGGTGACAAATGTGAATGCATGACCACACTGTATGGACTGAAATCTCATATGAAATGATGCCAAATCATAAAGATAGTGTAAGCAATGCATACTAATGACATGGACACTCAAAACCAATAAGCTAGATTGAACCAAGGCTATACAAAACAGTGCATGCATGACTAAAACAACACAAATAAGAGCTAGAGCATGGTAAAACATGACTAAAAGCTTCTTTGAGTTGAGCCAAAACAAGCAAGAATGATGACCCAAATGCAAGGTGCATGTTAAGGCAATAGAGAGGATTACACTACAAGTGCATGATGCATGTAAGAGGCCATAGACGCGCCCCGAGGGCTTTATGCTGTGCTACAGTTCAGACTCAAATGTCACGGTTCTTAATCTGATCTCACAATGTGCAATGTGAGATTGATAAATCACCAAAGAGTCCAAATCTGACAAATCGTTTTGAAAATTTGATTTTTGTAAATAAGTGCCAAACATGGACTGCTTTGCGAGATACAGAGTCGCCACCTAAATATTTTATTTTGGAGAATTTTGGAAACCCTGACTCGTGCCTAAGGCCACGTGTTCGTCACCACAAAAGTTGTCTCAGCTCGGGAACTTGGTACGATTGGGGAAGGTCATCTATGAGCACCCCCGCTCGTCCGATCAAAGATCGGCCTTTACTAACATGATATCTTGTTTTTGAAAACACATGCGTTCTTATTCCGGTTATTAGCCTAGAATTACTATGTGATGCGTACAACACACAAGTATAGACTTGATCGCCTAAGTTGGAACAAATCATCTCATGTTTGTTTGTTTGAAAATGGTTTGAAGGTGCTACTCGCAAGTAGGCTAAGACATGAATTTGCCACCCTCAAGTGGGCTTAGTGAACATGATTTTGCCACAATCAAGTGGGCTTAAAACTCGCATTTCAATGAATTGTTCCAATTCAACTAATCTAACCTTCGCCCACAGGCATTTAGGCAGTTGAACACTTAAGCAGTTAGCCTCATGGCAAGCATGCTGTCATGTTAACACTCACACTCATGCAAGATGCTAAAGCCTAAAAGCTTACCTAGTACTCCGAGCCAAAACAATAGCTAGTTAGTAATCAATGCATGATCCTAGCTATGTTAAGATGCCTAATGCAACACATGCAAAAATGCAACTAAAATAGGCTCGGCTATTCTAAGATGGAATATGAGATGCAACTTGATAATCATGTATTGAAATCGGAATTGAAATACAATGCAGTTAGTATGATGCGCCGAGCCCGGTGCATGCAATACAGATGAATGATGCGAACATGCAAGCATAAGAATGCTAATTGAAACATGACCTAAAACTAACCATCGAAAGCAGGTAAGTAAAAGGGAGAAAGACGTGGGGTTGGAAGACATTCACACACTCACTTACACTTATTACAAAATTCACCCTCTCAACGGAGGGTCCGAAAGAATAATACAAATTACATAATTAACTAACTAACAAGCTACTTAATTATTACATAACACTTAACTAATTAAGAAAATCAATTAAGCTATGAAAACAGTAAAAACAGCCTCGGGAAGAGGGATGCATACGTGCTTGGACGGCTTCGCTTGGAAATCCATCGCCATGTCATATGTTGCCTTTGTTTACACTGCTCTGTACCTCTAAAAACTGTGCCAACTTCTGTGACACTTGTGAACCATCTTGGGGACTTTCTGCGAGTCCATCGGCCAAGAGATAGGGCCATCGGCCAAGGGAATGGTGCCATCGATCAATGATAAGGCTCTCGGCCAAATGTTTGTTGCCGATCGGCATTGAACATGGTCGATCGACCATGTCTTCCTGCAGAATGCTTCTGTTGCTGTAGCAGAGGACAAACAGAGCATGGCAATACATTTACAAGACTATGTATGCACAACCACCCTCCCTATCATGTCATGAACTCAATGGAGTATGGTTATCGACCCTCGGACCACCAATCACGCATTTCAATGCATGATGGCCAAATGAGACTAATGTGTAATTAATATCAAATGAAATGCACACCAAAACACATAAGGGGGCCCCATCCTCTATCATGCTTGATCTAGAGGCAAGGAATGCACATACAATGCTATGCAACCTAAGCATGCAAGCAAGCATGCAAGCAACTCAAGCATGATGCAAATCCAATTCAACATAAGCATGTTAATGACAATGCCATGCAAGGCTAATGGTGACAAGCATGCCAAATGCAATATAACCTAAACAAGTATGCAAGATGCAACATGAACATTCAAACATGCAAGGCACGCAAAGGTGGACAAGTATGCCACAACATACAAAATGACACAAGCATGTGACAACATGATAAAAGGATAAACATGCAACATATTAGCATGCAACAACATGCATGGTATTAAATATGCAGCAAGCGTGCGACAACATGCGAGGCAAGCATGCAACAACATGCAAAGGATGGACTTAAACCAAAATGGACAGCTCTCAAATAGGCCCAAATCAGTGGCCAAAATGATGAATTGATGACATAAAATGCACATACAAGCATGCACATGTAATGGTCCACCAACAAGGCATAAAGATAACAACTCTTAAGCATGAGCAATGAGTGAAAATCATGGATGTATGACAATACTACAGGCCCTAAAATTAAGCATGGAATGATACCAAGGCATGCAAACATCACAAGTATAGCATGGTAGGGACCTCAAAACTCAAGACTAGTCAAGGAATTTGCACTATAGCTATACAAAAAATGAGTCATATGGCCAATACAACCCAAAAAAATTCTAGAGCATGCCAAAACAATGACAAAACATCCATGGAGCAAAGCCAAAAGAAGCTAGCATG